GACGAAGCTGCCATGCTGAAAGGGGGGATTCCCTAACCCCACACATGCCTGTGCAACGCTCATACATGCACACACACACAGACACACACTCTAGTGGTGACGCCCAGGAAGCTGCCTCCAGCTCCACAGGTCTCACAGTTTTCGTTGCTCCAAATAGCCATGGTGCTGAGCAGAAAACCCACCTCTAAGACAGGACCACACTCCACCACAGTGGTTTTTAACTACCACCATCACCGGCACAGGTTGACTTTCTCTTATCCTAAATGCTTGGGATCAGAGTGTTTCAGATTTCAAATTTTTTCCAATTTTAGAGTATCACCATTATATTTACCAGTTGAGCATCCCAAATTCAAAAACCCAAAACACTCCAACAAACATTTCCTTTGAGTATGATATCAGTGCCCAAAAAGTTTCAGGTTCTGGAGCATTTCAGATTTCAGGGTTTCAGATTTGAGATACTCATAATGCATTGTTTTTTAAAAAAAAAAACAACCCAGGGCTGGGTGAGGTGGCTCATGCCTGTAATCCCAGCACTTTGGGAGGCTGAGGCAGGAGGATTACTTGAGTCTAGGAGTTGGAGAACAGCCTGGACAATATAGCGAAAACTTGTATCTACAAAAAATTACCAAGTATGGTGGTAGCCTGTAGTCCCAGTTACTCAGGAGGCTGAAATGGGAGGATCTTCTGAGCCCAGAAGGTCGAGGTTGCTGTGAGCCATGAGCATCATGATCATGCCACTGCACTCCAGCCTCAGCGACAGAGTGAGATCCCAACTCCAAAACAAACAAACAAACAAAACAACTGAGAGATTTTTATGACACTGATGCCTGAGCTATACCAGGAATTCTGGTAGAGCCTGGGCATTGGGAAGTTTCAAATCTCCCAGTGTCTCTAACTGCAGCCCAAGATGCGAGCCCTGGACCCCTCCTCCCTCTTCCAGTGTTCTCTATCCTACTCCCCACCCCCACCAGCCACTCCCAGACTCCAGAGCCCCCAGAGAACCCACCAGTCACAAGCCTGCATCGCTGGGAATAGGCAGCTGGACAGTGAGAAAGGAGAAGTTGCCTGTGACCCATTGCCTGAAGGATGAAGTATTGCCCTAAGCTTTTCCTAAAAGTCTGATGAGGCTTAGGAAACAGAACGTCACCATCTGCACAAATCCATAGGAAGCACCTGTGAAGTCTTCCCCAGATCGTTTCTTAAAGAAAATTGTATTCAACTGCACTTACACTTAAATGACCTTTAAGATAACCTATAATTATCCGGAATATGAATGATTTAGGTTCAAGTTAAAATGCAGAATACTGTGCAGTTAATTAAAATAGCACAAATATACAGGTTTTTTGGGGGGGAGGGGTTGGTTTTGTTTTTTTTTTAGTCAGAGTCTCACTCTGTCACCCAGGCCTATGGCCACCGTAGCCTAGATCTACTGGACTCAGGCAATTCTTCCACCTCAGCCTTCCAAGAAGCTGAAACTACAGGTGTGCGCTACCACACCCAGCTATTTTTTATTTATTGTAGAGTCAAGGTCTCACCGTGTTGCCCAGGCTGGTCTTGAACCCTTGGGCTCAGGCAATCCTCTCACCTCAGCCTCCCAAAGTGCTGGAATTACAGGTTTGAGCCACCATGCCTGGCCTTTTATACGGATTTTTTTTTTTTTTTTTTGAGTTGGAGTCTCCCTCTGTCGCCCAGACTGAAGTGCAGTGGCTGCTCCCGGCCACTGCAGCCTCGACCTGCTGGACTCTGGCAATCCTTCTGCCTCAGCCTTCCAGGTAGCTGGAACTACAGGCGCGTACTTCCACACCCGGCTAATTTTTTGATTTATTGTAGAGATGAGGTCTCACCAAGTTGCCCAGGCGGATCTCGAACCCGTGGGCTCAGGCAATCCATTCACCTCAGCCTCCCAAGGCGCGGGATTACAGGCTGAGCCACCGAACCCGGCTTATACAGATTTTTTTTTAACAACTTGTGCACATGATTGTTACAGTGTTGGGTGAAAAGAATGAGATTCAACCTGTAATAAGTATGATGACTCTACCTAAAAAAATGTGGGAGACTCACTAGAAGTCAATATCTCAAATGTGAAGGAGTGGCTTTGACATTATCAGTACTTTTTTTTCTATTTTATTTTAAGCACTAAATTTTTTCCAAATGTATATGAATTGCTTTTATACTAGAAATAAACTATATAATAAAAAATGATTAAGTTTATCTTATAATAATAATAACGTTGTTTATGTTAAACATTAGTTATGAAGACCGTAAAAAGCTAGAAATATATCTATCTAAGTTTCGACGTCAGGATGAAAGTGGTGTGCATACAATAAATGCAACTTGGGAAAACCAGGTGGATAGATGAACAGCAGCTGAGGAAACTCTCGAAGACTCACAGTTGCAGCGTTAGGCTCTGATAACGACCCCTCTTCTCCTTTCCCCGAACACAGAGACTTAAAGCAGGTGTCGAGGGACATGGTGCGTTGCCACCAGGACAACGACACTTGATTCTGGTCTGCCCAAAGGCGAACGTAAGGAGAGGAGGCTAATGTGTTTTAAAACCACTTGGCCCAAATGAAATTATATAATCCAGGAAGGAACCAATCACATTGCCGATGAGAGTTTAAAAAAAAAAAAGATAAAGAAAAAAGACAAAGGCCCTCTCCTGATGCCACCTTGCAAAGGAGGTGGACGGAGGCCGGCTTGGGGGAGGGCATCTGGGGGCGTCGCTGCGTCCTCTTCAGGGGCTATAAAAGGAAGAGAGCAGCTACCGCACCTCACTGAGCCCGCGGCCAAGGCAGCTCCTCTGCCACCCTCGAAATCGCAGTGAGTAGCGCGTCCAAGCGCAGAAGCTCGGTCACTCTGCTTTGCTACTTTGTCAAATCTTCCTTCTCTGTCTGGGCTTGGGGCGGGTTTTGTCCTGGCAGCCGGGGCTGGCCCTGTGCTTGGTGGGCAGAGGCAGCTGGCCCTCAGTTCCTGCGTTCAGGGCCACCTTTCCCTCCCAGCACCCTGATGTAGCTGTCCATGGTGGAGACGTTGTGTCCCCTTTAGCTCCACTTTCAGCGCAGGACCAGGGAATCCCACTGGGCAGACAGCAAAAATCTCCAGCTGTCAAAGAAGCAGACCCATGGGAACCAGGAACTCAGCATTTTCACCTTCTAAGAGGCCCTTCACGTGGCATGGGGCTTGTCCCAGGGGGACAAGCAAGCAGGCTGACCCATTCAGATGTAGCTCCTTAGCACTATTCAAGGTGGTGCTTCCATTTCCTCGAGGCTGGGGATCCCCCACCCCACCCCTTATGGGACACCCCAACGGGTCTCTAAAAGGAGAAGGGTAGGCATTTGAAATTGCTCTGAAGGAGAACGCTTTCTGTGGGGTTCAGGGAGGGTCTGGAAAGCCAAAGTCAGCAGGGGGGTTCCTCCCCCGAAACAGGCAGCGTTCTTGGGCATCTTCCCATGGCCCTGGAGTGCCAAGGATGGAGTGGGAAGGAGGGGTCACCTGCAGAGGATCTTGTCGTGTCTTCCCAATGATGCCGTTGAGGCCGGTCAGCACCTGCACTTCAGCAGGCAAAAGGTTTATTTTGGGGGTTCCTGTTCTCATCACAGCAGCTCTTTCCTCCATCTGTAGAGGGTTGCCCTGTCCTGTGAGAAGAGGTCCCAGGTGCTACGGGTTTATCTTGGAGCCTCAGCAGATTGGACCCAGGGTCATGTGAGGGCAAGTGAGTTTAGTTGGGACAGAGGATGTGACTCGTCCTGCAGCACCCGGCTACCAGCCTATGTCCTCCAATAGGACAGGGGTGGCAGGCTGGAACTGGGTGTCAGAGGCCCTGCCATGAGTGCCAGAAAGAACCATGCACTGGGTTCCAGCCCCTGAACCTGGTCCAGACTGGGCACTCCAAGCCCTCCAGCCATGTCTGAGGTTTGGCAAGCTGCCACCTCCACTTCCACAACTCCTGGGGATCCTCCCACAAACCAGCTGGCCGGGGTGTGCAGCCTGCAAGAGGCCTGTCACACCTCCTGGTTCCCTATCACAGACAGACAGACCCAAGACTGTCCCAAGGCACCCCTCCTTTACACATGAGCAGCTCACACCCCCACGGGGGCTTTCTGATGACAAAGCATGGATGCAACCGTGACTGAGCCTGTCAGAGACTGGTGTGCATGTGAGCGTCTCATTTAATCCTCTCTGTGGCCGGGTTCGGTGGCTCAGCCTGTAATCCCAGCACTTTGGGAGACTGAGGTAAGTGGATTGCCTGAGTCCACGGGTTTGAGACCAGCCCGAGCAATTTAGCAAGACCTCGTCTCAGTTAAAAAAAAAAATTAGCCAGGCATAGTAGCATGTACCTATAGTTCCAGCCACTTGGAATGGTAAGGCGGAAGAATCACCAGAACCCAGCAGGTCGATGCTGGGGTGGCAGTGAGCATGCCACTGCACTCCAGCCTGGGTGACAGAGTGAGACTCCAATTCAAAAAAAAAATCCTCACTGAGGAGAGAATGAGGGGGCAGTGCAGAGGGTCAGGGTCAGGGTTAACCACTCCTCTGTGCTCCTTCTCACCCCAGCACAGATCAGAGGAACATATGCAGAGATGTGGCTGCATACACATGCATGTATACACACATACATACACTCACATACACATACAAATGTGTATACATGCACGTACAGTATACTAGTACACCTGTGTGCACACACAAATCACATCCTCTTGTACATACATGCACCCACATACATACACTGTCTCATATACATGCATGCATAGCATACTGGTACACACACCCGTACACACACAAGCTACACCCTTTCATACACATGTGCACATACACTCACATGTGCACACACTCATGTACATACATCTCTCACATGCACACACAGTACCCATGTCACCCAAGGTTCCAGCTTTGTGCACCTTACGCCTGTGTAACTTTGCTCCTGCCCTCTGCCCCCAGGCGACACCCTCCGCGTGTGAAATTCCACCTCCAGCAGGGCCTCGTGGGAAGAGCCAGGGATGAAGATACTGAGGGCCTGGTTCCTGTGCCTGCTGCTTTTGGGCCTTACGCTGCAGGGGACTGCGAGTCGAGCCCAACAGCGCTCTATGGAGATCCGCAGTGAGTGCCTGGATCCTGGAAGTCAGCCTCCCTCATCCCACCCCTCCTCACCCCCAAGACCACCAGCGCAGCCTGGCCAATCTCCTGCAAAGGGAGTGGGAGGAAAGGGAAGTCCATCTTGGTGCACCTTTGAATTCCTGTTTCCCAAAGAAGCTACCCCATACCCAAATATGGCCTTCTGAGCTCCCCTTCCTGGGGAGGGTCCCAAGGTGCCCTGGCGACAGGGCAGCAGCCAGCTGGGAGGCCCTGTGTGGGGCTGAGAGTGTGCTTCCGGCCCTGCCACCTCCAGGAACACAGGGACACCCCTGGGGACATGCGCCCATGGGCTGCTCTCATTCTTTCCTTTCCAGCTCCTGACATCAATCCTGCCTGGTACACCGGCCGCGGGATCAGGCCTGTGGGCCGCTTCGGTCGGAGGAGAGCAGCCCTGGGGGACGTCCCCAAGTCTGGCCTGAGACCCCAGTTCGCCTGCTTCCCCCTGGAAGGTGGCGCTAAGTCCTCCCAGGATGGGTGACAGCCAGCTCCTCCAGAAACTCACTCCGGAGCCTCCCCTACCCCTTCCTTCCATTTCCGCCACAGATGACCTGCCCTTCGGTCCTAATAAAAGTACTGGCCTCACTTAGCTAAACATCTGTGACTGGGTGGTTGATGACTCGGAAAGTGCTTTCCCTACTGGAACGTTAGCCTAGAAGGAAACTCACAGTCCAGCAGCCTCCTTGGAAAGCAGGGGCAGTGTCTTGCCCGAGGATACCTGGCACTGAGTAAGGAAGCTGGGGCCATCTTGGACCATCACCTGCAGCCCACACACACCCAAGCAGCCCTGAATGGTTGCCCAGGTTGTGCACTGCACGAGGCTGTAGAGTGCCACATACTACACTCTGTGGGACACCATCCCCAGAGGTGGGCAACACAGTCCTCAGCCTGAGACCTGTCCCTCCCTCAGACCCAGTCCTTTTTTTTTAAGACTTTATTTTTTAGGTTCATAGCAAAATTGAGCAGTAGATACAGAGATTATCTATGTATAGTAACAAGTATGTCTCCATGTCCCCCTCAGATGTAACTTGCATCGGTGTCAGGGGACACCCCTATACTACCTGGATAATTGAGCTCAGAACCTCTGAGCCTCAGATTCCACATCTGCCTGCCACAGGACAGCAACACTTACGTCATTCCTGAGCTCAGTAGGCATGGCACCTGCACACCAGCTGGCCTTGGGTGATGTCCCTTCCCCAAGGCCCATCCCCAATCCAGCACCAGTTAGCAGGCTTCACCAGCTACCCCCAAACCAAAGCTCGGTGATAGACCCTGTTTGCCGGTGTCAATTTCAGGAGCCTGCCCTGACCACAGCCCTCCTATCCATCCACGCTCAGAAGGGCCGCATGGCAGGACCTAGACCCCAGCTGTCTCTGGTCCAGAGCACTTACACGAGGCTGAATCAGGACAGCAGCAGCTTTCCAGTCACAGGGGCACCCCTCCAGCCTGGGTACCTTGCCAGGGCAGAGTGAGCCTGTGGCAACAGGAGGAGTGACCAGGTCTGAACCCAGGGTTGCAGGTGCTGGATCAGGCCTTGAAGAGGTCACAGCCCAGGAAAGCAATTTGGCAGCTCCTCAGAAAGTCAAACATAGAGTTACCGTATAACCCAACAATTCCACCCTTATAGACCCCAGAGAGTTGAGAACAGGTGCACACACAGATGCTTGTACAGCCATGTCCACAGCAGCCCTGTTTCCAATAGCCCAAAGGCACATGCTCTCACCAGGAGTGAGGAAGGTGGACCAAGAACTTGTGGCAGAAAAGGTCACTGAGCTGGGACTCACCCAGTCCTAGTTGGCTGAGACTTCCTGTCTGCAGATAGATGGAGGCTGGCTAGGATCCTCCGGCAATTTACCCAGGCAAGGGACCACTTGGCCTTGACCAACCCAAATGCTTAGTTCCAGCTTCTATATCAAGATACCACAGACACCGAGGCTTAAACAGTAGACATTGCTCACAGTTCTGGAGGCTGGATGTCCATGGTCAAGGTGCTGGTGGATCTGGTGTCTGGTGAGGGATCTGGTGTCTGGTGACAGCCATCTTCTCGCTGTATCCTCATGCGGTAGAGAGCAGAGAGAAGCAAACTCTCTGGACTCTTCTTACAAGGGCACTCATTCCAAAGGCCTCACCACCTAACACCACAAGGGTTAGGATTTCAACATATGAATTTGGGGAGGGCACAAACATCCCATAACACCCATCAGCAGATGAATAGATAAGCAAAATGTGGTCTTTTCACACAGTGGAATATTATTCATCCATAAAAAGGATGAAGCATGATACATGCTACAACATGATGCTAAGTGTAGGAAGCCAGTCACAAAAATTCATGTCGTGTGATTCCACTTACACGAAAAGCCTAGAGTTCACAATTTCATAGAGACAGAAAGGGGCCAGAGAAGAGGGGCAAATGGGGAATGACTGCCTTATGGGTACAGGGTTTCCTTTTGGGGGCGATGAGAATGTCTTAAGGTTAGACTGATGTGGTGGTTGAAGAACTAAAAGTCACCATTGGACGCTAGAAAAGAGTTCACAGTGGAGTGTGGGGCACAGACATGAAACACTGTGAAAGGTCACGTGGCTGATGACGGGCTCTGGATTTCCGTGGGAGCCTGGGGCCTCTTGGGGAATGGGCCCAACCCAGACAGGCAGCCTGCTGGCACGGCTGTGCCCAGGAGTGAGGAGGGTGGACAGAGGGCCCGTGGCAGAGAAGGTCACTGAGCCAGGACCAGTCCGGTCTTATTCGGCTCAGGGAGTCTGCAGACAGATGAGGGCTGGCTGGGAGCCTCTGGCAATAACCCAGGCAAAGGACCACTCGGACTGGACCAAGTCACTGGCAAAGGGGCGGACAGAAGGGCCAGTGGCCACCATCCAACAGCAACGACCATCTCTCCTTGTCAGGTGAAGGCAATGACCTACAGTTTTTCTTGCACCTTGGGGACTCTGGGGACCTGCAACCCAGGGGAGGGTCTTAGGGAATCAGTTCTTTCTTCTGTGTAATCAGGAGATCGACTCCAATCGGTCTCTACCTCCCATAGGCCAGGAGGGGGCAGCACTCAGTCTCTCTGGGCTCAGGGAGTCAGAAGGCTGGAGACCAGGGATTCCCCAAGGTGCTGAACTGTGTCTTGACCTCACCCCAAAAATTTACATGTTGAATTCCTAATGCCCATTCCTTATAATGCATCCTTATTTGGAAATAGGGTTGCTGCAGATGTAAATTGCTGAGTTCACACTGCAGCAGGGTGGGCCTAATCCAATATGAATGGTGTCCTTACACAAAGGAGAAATCTGGACAGAGAGCACATGGGGAGACGCCATGTGAAGCTTGGGCAGATATTGCCAGAAGGCAGCCACAAGGAATGCCAAAGATTGCCGACAGCCACTGGAAACTGGGAAAGAGGCCTGGGACAGAACTCCCCTCATGACTTCAGAAGGAACCAGCCTCATCTCAGACTTCCAGCCTCCAGATCTAAGGACAGTAAATGTATGTGTTGTTGTTGCTGTTGTATTGTTTTGAGTTGGAGTCTCACTCTGTCTTCCCAGCTGAAGTACAATGGCACAATCATGGTTCACCACAGCCTAAACCTCCTGGACTCAGGTGATCCTTCTGCCTCAGCCTCCCAAGTATTAATAGATGGGACCGCAGGTGTGCACCACCATGTCTGGCTGACATTTTTTATTTAGTGTAGAGATGGGGTCTCGCTGTGTTGCCCAGGCTGGTCTTGAACTCCTGGGCTCAAGCAGTTCTCCCACCCAAGTCTCCCAAAGTGCTGGGATTACAGGCAGGAGCCACCACTCCCGGCCAGTGTGTGTTGTTTAAGCTACTCTGTTTGTGGTGCTGTTTTAGGTCAACCCCAGGAAACAAATGTATCTTCTCTGTCCAGAGAGATAAAGAAGAGTTTCTATTTTCTATAACTTCCTATAATGCAAGTTTTCAAACATAGAAAAAAGTTCAAAAATGACTGAAGCAAACATCCACTGAGATTCCACAATTGTTACTATGTTTGCTTTCTCCTCCTCCACCTTCCCCCTTCTGTCCCCGGCATTTGAAGTGAGTTTCAGACATCATGAAGACTGATGACTGTCCTCAATATTTCAGCATATTTCTCTCTAGAATAAGGACAATCTCCTCCATAACCTCAAAATGTCCATACCTGAAAAAATTGTTTTAGTAATTCCATGTCATCTCGTTTTTAGTCTATAATTAAAAATCTCCAAGTAGAGCAAGACAGTCTTTTTCTTTTTCTCCAACCAGGCTCCAATCTAAATTCATAATTGCAGTTAGTTTTCTTTGGTCCCTGATCATTTTAATTTTTGCTTGGTTATTATCATTTTTATTTATTTATTTATTTTTAGTCTCACTCTATCACCCAGGCTGGAAGGCGGTGGTCCACTCACTGCCGCCGCAGCCCCGACCTCCTAGGCTCAGGTGATCCTTCCACCTCAGCCTTCCAAGAAACGGGAACCACAGTAATGCGCCACCATGCCCGGTTGGCTTTTTTGGTTTATTGTAGAGACGAGGTCTCGCCAAGTTGCCCAGGCTGATCTTGAACCCCTTGGCTCAGGCAATCCTCTCACCTCCACCTCCCAAAGTGCTGGGATTACAGGAGTGAACCACTGTGCTCAGCTTTAAGTTCTACTTTGTCATGACGTGGACTTTTCAAGCACCCAGAGAAGCTGTCTTGCCCAGTGCGTCATGTGTGTGGTTTGCTGGTTGCTCCCCATGGTGTGGTGCCTGTCCTTCTATCCTTGCATTTCCTATAATCTGAGAGGTAAATTTAGAGGCTTAGCTGGATTCATTTGTGCTCATTGTGGGCACCAATGCTGTGTCCTTTCTGTTGGGTTGTATCGGACATTGGGGTCCCAGGGTCCTTCTCTGACAGGTGCTGTTTGACCATGTGGTTAAGGCAGATTGCTCCATTGCAAGGCTCCTTTCCCTGTGTGATCACTATGCAACCCATGGCCATCCAGGGGCCCTGTGGCAACGTTGTTTCCCAACCAGCTAGCAGCCCAGGATGGAAGTATCCACTGACTACCTTACTGGGCTCAGTTGTTCCATTATGGGTCACATAATGATGATTCCCTAATTCCTTCCACATGTATTAGCTGGATTCTTCCAAAGAAGATATCTCTTTTTCCTTTTGTTTTCACACCTTACAAACAATTTTTGATGCTCAAATTGGTCTCAGTTTGGCCAGTGGGAACCCCAAGAAGGGAATCGATTTTAAAATAAAAAGAATAGGTCTATGAGTCAGTCCCTTTGGGAAAGTAAGTCCATCCAGGGGAGTTCAGTGAGAACATATTCAAGAGGAACAAGAGAAGAAATGGAAAAGGTTAGAGTCACAGGCTGCGATGGCCAGGGACTCCTAAGGGTGACTTCCAGACCTCTCCATGACTCCCACCCCTAACCACCCACCCCCCAACACACACACACACACACACACACACACACACACACACACACAAGCAGAAATGGGGCCTTCCTGCCTGCTGCCCTAGCTCCATCCCTGTTTCAGGACGAGATAGGATAAGGCAGTGGAGCATTGGCACAGAGTGATCCTTACACACACATGTCGGTAGCAGCAGAGGCTGTTTTTGGGAAAGCCCACCTATTCTTTAGGTCTCAGGAGGGGAAACATGGCGTTTTCCCTCTTTGTTGGACACATAGGTGTTGAGCACCTGGCTTGTGCCAAACAGTGTGGGAGGCACTGGGAATCCCACAGAAGTAAGAACAGACAGAGCCTCTCACAGGGGTTCTTTACCTCACCTAAATACAAGGTTCACCTGGATGGGTTTAGCAACCCCAGTCCAGATGGATGTGATCAGAAACTCTAGGTGGGATGTAGGTGTGAGGCTTTCTGAAGCTCCCCAGGGGATGCCAGTTGGCTGGAGCTGTGTCCACCTATTGCGGTCGGAGGCCGGGGAGAGGGACACTCACAATCCCAGGAGATGGGGACTCAGGGACCAAGACCAATAGATCCATCCAACCCTGGAGAGGCCATGAAAGGAATCCTGATGGAAGGTCCAAAGATACACTCGAGCATAGCGATACCAGTCTAACAAGATGGAAGGGAGGAAAGGCAGAGATATATGGCTTTCCACTTTCTATCTCATCCAACCACTCAGCTGCAGTTCCTCTGAAAGCCCTGTATTTTCTTCTTCAGCTGAGCAAACACAGCACCCCAAGCCCAGGAGCTGCAGGGGTTTGCCTTACACGATGCTAGATCGCCATCTAGTGGCCATACACATTCTCAGCCTCTCAGCACACCCCCAGGTGGGTCCTGTCTGCCAGGTGCACGACCCACTGGGGTGGCATGAGGCACAAGGGCACAGCCTGGAACACAAGGGACTCACACTTCATGTACTTCATCAGCAAGGAAATGATCGCATGAAAAACATCCAACTTGACTAGCAGTCAGAAATTGCAGTGTACCCAGTAAGTTGTCAGGTTTCACCTATGAAATTGTCTAAGAGAAAAAAGTATTAGTGAAAATCAAGGAAACAGGCACCCTCCAAAGCTATTATTTCCTTCATTTATCCTTTAGTTTTCCTCAAATATAATGACAAGAAAGAGCCATGTGAAATCTGGTCTGTATCTGTCTAGTAAAGTCACATGAGAAGTTTCTTTTAGGTCACATAAACACCAGGAAAATCTGACTCTGAGGGAGATATGAGCAGTTTCCATCTCCCCAGAACAGAAGCTGGATCTTCCAGGGGCCCAATGGACACAGGTGGTTCCCTCCAGTTAGAATAAAGATGTCATAGAGGCCAGGCATGGGGACTTGTAATCCCAGCATTTTGGTAGGCCAAGGCAGGAGGATTGTTTGGGGTCAGGAGTTATAGACCAGCTTAGACAACACAGTGAGATCCCACATCAAGAAAAAATATAAATCGAATAGGGATGCCAGAAGGCTTCATGAGAAAGGAACAGTTACCAAGGTGTGGTTGAAATGCCAAGAAATCCAGGCCAGCCAGGATCTAGGTTAGTTGTGCCCACCTAGACCCAATGGACCCGAGGGGAGAGGGCAGCTGCCAGAACCTAGAGGAGGGAGAAAGCTCTTGGAGGAGCCAGCGGCCTTGAGCCTGGGACACAGTCCTGGCTGTGGATCCTAGCCAATGTCTGGCTTCCATGTGCCCTTCCCAATCCCCTACCAGGGCTGCTCATGGGCTGAGACCACTGGATGCTCAGGCCTGGTAGATGAGATGGTACTCTCTATGCAAAGCAAACAAGAGCAAAGGGAAGCCCAGAGAAGCAGACTACATCTTCTGGCATGGGGCCCCTTCTGGGTGATGAGAATGTGAGAGAAAGGAAAGGATACTTTGCATTTCTCCAGTTGATCCTTACAGCAAAAGGTAGCAAAGCTACTTTTTCAGGTGAATTAACAATGTCACATTGCTTAAAACAGCAGTCTCCAACCTTTTTGGCATCAGGGACCAGTTTCATGAAAGACAATTTTTCCACAGACTGGAGTGAGGAGGGATATGCACTCAAATCTCATTGCTGTTTGGGTTTTTTTAAAGCAGGATTTATTGAGAGGACAGAAAAGCTCCCATAGTGGAAGGGGACCCCAGGGGGTTGCCCCTAATGTTAATCTGTATTTGCAGCCACTCCCCAAAGCTAGCATCACCACCTCTGCTCCACCTCAGATCATCAGGCATTAGATTCTCCTAAGGAGTGAGCAACCTAGATCTCTCACATGCGCAGTTCACAGCAGGGTTTGCACTCCTATGAGAATCTAATGCTGCTGCTGATCTAACAGAAGACAGATATCAGCTAGTTATGCAAGTGATGGGGGACTGCTGTAAACAGAAATGAAGTTTTGTTCACTCACCTGCCACTCACCTCCTGCTGTGCAGCCCAGTTCCTAACAGGCCCCTGTTTTAAAACTCATACCTGCTTATCATAGTCCCAGAAGCAAGGATGAAAATCAACATCACCTTCCAAAATATGACCACCTTAGAAAAACCTTCACCCAACCATAGCAGGTGTCCAGAAAGACCCAACAGAAAGATGTCACTTGGGGCTTCCCACCCAGAATGGGATCTAGATCTCTCTGTAGAGGCGGGGAGTCACGATTGGTACAACATATGCCACCGTCTGGGAACATGACCTATCCAGAGATGGCCCATGCCCAACTAAGTCACAGCCCGCCATGTGGGCCGACCTCCTTTTCATATAACAGGAGCCCTCCCGAAATAAGTGTAAAAACACCCACAACACGATCCATCAGGCTCTGTGCCTTACTTTGTCCTTTCAAATTTGCCAAAAGTCAGATTGTCAAATTTAATATTTAGAGGAAAAAAAATTTGGCTGGGTGCTGTGGCTCATGCCTATAATCCCAGCACTTTGGGAGGCTGAGGTGAGAGGACTGCCTGAGCCCATGGGTTCAAGACCAGCCTGGGCAACTTGGCAAGACCTAATCTCTACAATTTAAAAAAAAAAAGTAGCTGGGCATGGTGGCACATGCCTGTAGTTTCAGCTACCTGGAAAGCTGAGGCAGAAGGATTGCCTGAGCCCAACAGGTCAAAGCTGTGGATAGCCATGAGCGTGTCACAGGACTCCAGCCTAAGTAGCAGAGTGAGACTACGACTCAAAAAAAGAAAAAAAAGGAAAAAATTCATACACAGTACAGCTTATATCTCAGGCTAAAAGTCTCAGAACCTTCATGTTCACTGGACAGAAATATTACTTCATCAAGTTCACAGCCAGGAGAAGAGTGTGGGAGGGGACTGGCACCCCTGCCCCTAGCCACCCCTCCTGGGGGAAACATCACTGAGATATAAATGCCCTGGGCCCACCCCCATGGCTGTCACTCCATTTCTCCCTGGCACTGCCACCTCCAAGTTGGGCCTGATCCCTCCTCTCCCACCCCCCAGAAGCAGGTGGGCCTAGCCCCTAGGCCAGCACCCCCATCCAAACAGGTGTGAGCATCTGTCCACCATCCAGTGATGCAAGCATTTTCCCTCTCCTTGCTTCCTCCCTGACCCGGTTAATTCCATACAGCAGTGAGGCCGCCAAGTAAGGACCACAATCCAGGTGAGGCAGGTGCAGGCATCTGGGAATCAGATGATGGTGTCGGGAGAGGTGAGGCCAACACTCTTCTGGGAGCCACTTAACACCAGTTCCTCCTCTGACAGTTCCTGTGGACTGTGGGAGGTACTTGTCATAAAAGATGCCAATTCCCAGGATCCTCTAGGGCTCAGGATCCATCCAGCATCAACAGTGAATCAGAATCAACATGGGGCTGGCAGCAGCCCACACTCATTCAAGCAGCGGAAGCCCCGGCTGGGCGTGTCTTCTCCATGACCCCTTCCAGAGTGACTGCTTCTAGTGGGCGCAGCATTTGGCCTGCCATGTGGGTCCCTCATTCAGAACCATGGCTGCATCCCCCTGCGGAGCCTGGGCCTCCCTGACTTCTCTCTGCAGCAGTTCTTGGGCTGTAAAAGGCAAGAGGTAGGAGGTTGACTGGGGAGGGGAGTCTCCAAGCCCAGCACAGCCCCAGACCAGGACACTATCTCTTCTGACATTTACCCAGAGCCACAGAACAAGGATCCCCTGCCCCTCCTGGTCACCTTTCAGTCCCTAGAGACATTCTGTGGAGTCCCGGGATACCAGTAAAGGGGACCCAGGGAAGCAGGTGTGGTGATGAGCGCCTGCCCTCTCGTCTGGCCCGTGGGACCATCACTCACCCACGGCGCTGAAGACCTCAGACACCTGGTGGTTCAGTTTGGCCGAAGTTTCCATGAACAACAAGCTTTGGCTCTCAGCAAACTCCTTCCCTTCCTGGGGGAAACAGTCACAACACAATCACAAACAGTCACAACAATCCAGCATTTTTAGTAAGATTTTCCTAAGAACACCTAGTTGACATGAAGACGCAAGAAACAATTGCAGCCCTGGAGAACCTAATTCCTTCACATTTCTTGTCCAAGCTGTGCTTCTTGGTGCTCCTGGGAAACCCAGACCCAGGACAGGGCAAGGGGCAGAAGGGGTACACTCACTGGAAGAGGCTCTTCCTGGAGGTGGACTTGGTCAACGCCTTCCTCTCCCAGAAAAGTCTGGAAAGCCAAGTCTCCAACATGTGGCTGCCCTCCCACCACGGTTATCCAGCACCTGTGGGCTTTGATGCTAGGCAAAGAACCAACTGAGAACCACCCAAGGAAATCAAGGTGGGAAAGGGAGAAGCGCTTGGTCAAAGCCCACCCAGGCCCTTCCTCTGGGGAGCCCTCATTTTCTGACATGAGTTAGGCCTACATGGAGAAATGATGTCCTAGAGCAAGGCAAGCTGGGAAATGGCAGTCTTGAAGTGGGGGACAAGAAGGAGGGAAGGAATGGGGAATTCCCTGTGCGGTCCCCTCCTCTAAGCCTCTGGGACTCTCCACAAAGAGGAGCTCATGGCAACCCCTAGAGGGCACAGCTCCGGCTCACAACCATCCTTCCGGACACTGGGCCGGCACCCAGCCTCAGCCAGCCATGCCCATAGCACTCACAGCCCTGGGGGTTCGCTCCTCCCTGCTCTGCGCTCAGAGAGCTGTCAGTCAGCCCACTTTTCAAAATGCACTGCCTAAGGTTTGGCCTTGCCTCTGGCCTGGCTCCCTGGTGTGGGGACACTGTTTCGTGCAGTGTGTTGCTCCCTGACCACCGAGGCCTGGGCTATGCTTAGTGGGGTTCTCAGGAGGAGGCAGAGGCCAGGGTGGTGGCCCGGGGTCTGCAGAGCCGGGGAGCACCGCAGGGGCCCCAGGGATGATCCAGAGCCCAGGCTCCAGGGCAGCCGCCTCGGGTAGATCTAAGCCACAGGATCCCCCGGTTGCAGGTCAGCCAAGGCAAAGGCGATGCTGAGGCAAGGAGACAGCAGGTGCTGCCTGAGTGGCGCTGGGTTCAGTTGACTGCCCCCCAGGGGTCCCGCCCACCCCGGGCTCTGCTCTCACAAGTCATCCTTAGGTCCCTCCCAGTGCTCCACTCAATCACCCAGCAGGCCCTGACTCTACCTGCTCTAAACCCTCAGGGACTCCCTGTTGCCTCCGAACTGAAGCCCCCAGTCCCTAATGCCACAGCCAAGGCCTCCGCTTTCTGAGCCTAACCTGCTTTCTTAGCATGACTGCCCTCTCCTGGCGGACCAGGCCTCCTCCCCTGGTCCAGGAGAGCCGCCTGCAGCTGACACCCTGCCCCTCCCTCTGCCGCTGCACCGGGGCGCACAGTGGCTCCTCCTCCACTGGGCCCTGTCCTACAGCCTGGCCTGCAATCCGGCCCCACACACCTCCTATGCACGTGTACATACACCCCACCTATACACACACACGCACCCCTCCTGCACACACAGCCTGCACATACATGTGTAAACACATCCCACCTATACACATAACTATATATACCCACACCTCCTGCATACACATATACACACCACCTACTTGCACACAACCTCCTACACACACACACACACACACACCTATATATACCTCCTGCATGCAAGTGTGTACACACACTCCCCATTATATACACACCCGCCTATACGCATCTATATATGCACACATACCTCGAAGCCAGGTGTGGTGGCCCATGCCTATAATTCCAGCACTTTAGGAGGCCGAGGTGAGAGGATTGCCTAAGCCCACAGGTTTGAGACCAGCCCGGGCAACTTGGCAAGACCTCGTCCCTACAATAAATCAAAAAATTAGGCCAGGCTCGCTGGCTCAGCCTATAAGCCCAGCACTTTGGGAGGCCAAGAAAAGTGGATTGCCTGAGCCCACAGGTTCGAGACCAACTCAGGAAACTTAGCAAGACCTTGTCTCTACAATAAATCAAAACATTAGCCGGACGTGGTGGCCTATGCCTGTGGTTACAGCTGCTTGGAAGGCTTAGGTGGAAGGATCACCTGAGTCTAGCAAGTCGAGGCTGTGGTGGCTGTGGGCATGTCACTGCACTCCAGCCTGGGCAACAGAGTGAGACTCTAACACACACAAAAAAACAAAAAAACAAACAAAAAAAAACAAGCCAGGGTCAGCGGTTCATGCCTATAATCCCAGAACTTTGGGAGGCCAAGCTGAGAGGATTGCCTGAGTCCACAGCTTCAAGACCAGCCTGGAAAATTTGGCAAGACCTCATCTCTACAATAAATCAAAAAATTAGCCAGGAGTGGTGGTGCATGCCCGTAGTTCTGGCTACTTGAAAGGCTAAGGTAGAAGGATAGCCTGAGCCCAGCAGGTCGAGGCTGCGGTGGCCCTGAGTGTGCCACTGCACTCCAGCCTGGGTGACAGAGCGAATCTCCAACTCAAAAAACAAAAACTTCACACATACCTCTTGTACACACCTCACACATACCTCTTGCACATACCTCACACATACCTCTTGCACATACCTCCCGCATGCATGTATGTATACACACACCCCCACTATATACAACATACCCTCCGACACACACCTATGTATACACATATTCCCTACATGCATGTGTATATACACACAGACCATCCAGATGCACAAAGACACATATGCCCTACATACATATCACCTATACAAATATACACACATATTCACACCTCCAACACACATGTGCACACATCCCCTATACACACCTACATACACAACACCTCCTACATAAACATATCACCTCCACACAGACACACACATATCCTCCTACATACTCACGTATGCACATACCCTCCTGTACCCCCTCCTCTACACACACAGACCCACACACCTCCTATGCACAATACATGTGCACAGACACACACATGCCTCTTACACACTCCTCCTGGTCACAGGCCCCTGGAACCCCTTGTTTCCACCCTGGACCCACAGCACTGCTCAAGTGCCTCTCTGCAGCATGTATTTTGCTGTGGGTCATTTTCCAGAAGAGCCACAACTTTTTGGACTTTCCGACCCAAGCTCCTTTCCTAGCAAAGTCTGAATGTTTTCATTTGACTCCTCTTCCATCATTCACTGAATACAAAGAAAAGTTCTGAAAAAGCACATCACTCAAAGTGGAATGGAGAAGTAGGAAGGGTCATGGTGTCCTGGGTGATCAGGTGAACAGGACAGGCCCCTCAGAGGCTAACAATGAGTGCCCCCATTCTCTGTGCTGGATGTCAGCCAGACTGTTCAGCCCGCTTTCAGGAGTGGCCTGGGTGTAGTGCGCGCCTTTCCCTATGCATGAACCATCAGCATTGCTGTGTCTCAGCTTCCCGGGAAAGACCAGAAACCTTTGGCCAAAAGGGAAACTAAGGTGGAAAGTGCATTTACGTGAGCATATGTGTGCTTGTGAATGTGTATGGGTACATGTGTGTGAACATGTGTGGATGTGTGTGCTTGTGAATGTGTGGGTACAAGTGTGTGTGGAAGCGTGAGGGTATGGGTGTGCTTTTTTCAGCTGACTGTCCCCCGTGAGCCCCCCATACCAGGTTCTGCCTCACCAGCTCATCCTTGAGCCCCCCCCCCCCCAGTTCTCCACCCAATCACCCAGCAGGCCCTGACCCCACCTACTCAAAACCCTCAAGGAAGCCCTGTTGCCTCCGGGCTGAAGCACCCCGTCCACAAGGCTACAGCCAAGGTCTCCACTTTCTGAGTGTGTGTGTGAATGTGTGTGCGGGGGTGGGTGTGCTTGTGAGTGTGAGTGCAAGTGTGTGTGAATGTGTGTGGGGGCGTGGGGGTGGGGGTATGCTTGTGAGTGGTGTGAGTACAAGTGTTATGAATGTGTGTGTACATGTGGTGGGTCTATGTGCACATGTGCATGTGTAGAGGTGTGCACGTGTGGCATATGGGTTTCATGGTCTCTACAACGAGGTGGGCGGGCCTCTCTGCCTCCCACGGGTCATAACACCAGGGTCTCCAGAGCAGTACCTCGAATGTCACTTCCCGCTCCTCACTGAGGTCTGTCTTGTTGCCGACCAGCATCACCACGACATCTCCCAGGTGGACTTCCTTCTCCAGGTCCTTCAGCCACTGCTGAGCCTTGTGGAAAGAATCCTAGAAGAAGAAAAAAAAATGTAGTGTCAGACTAAACTTATGAGTATTCTCCATGAGCTAGCTACCTGAGGGGAAAGCTGGTGTTGCTGGTCACGTTATATAAAATGTCACAGGATCCAACTGGCCATGGACAGACCTACAGGGCTGCTCTGTCCCTCTGAGGGGATGACCAGGTCTGTCCCTGCCTTGGGTGACCTGTGCAGCCAGGCAGCCAACTGCTGGGATAAATTTCAGCTCTTTCCTCCTGATAGGACCAAGAGAGTTTGGAGGAGTGGCCATCAGCCCCAAACCCTGATCCTAACTAACTGCAGCATCAAGGACTGTTGAGCAGTAGGTGGCAGTGCTACAAGGCTGGTGTGGGGTGTTCTGGAAGGACCTTGGAGGAACAGAACCCCAATGGTGGGAGAGGGGTTGTCAAGAGGGCTTCCTGGAGGAGGTGCTAATGCTCACAAACGTAGTCTGTATTTCTTGCTATGATTATACCATAATATACCAGCTCAAGCCATCATTCCTTCAGAAGATGGCTTCACTGCACCTGAGGAAACAGAAGGAGGGTGGGACGCCCCAATGCAAGCCCTACCTTCCTTGTCACATCATACACCAAAAGCGCAGCGTTGGTGCCCCTGAAGTAGAGATGGCAGACACTGTGGTACTTCTCCTGGCCGGCTGTGTCCCAGATCTCAAACTTCAGAGAGGAGGCACCCACATTCACCACCTTTGTGAAGAATGCACCTGAAATGGGGAGTGGGGAGGGGTAAGAGGGAGCTCTACTTAGAGGGCGAGGTTTCTGTCCTCGGCTCATGGGAGACCTTCACGAACCCCAGGCTCAGCAAACTGCTCAGAGACAGCTGAACCCAGGTCCCCACAACCACATGGAAAGCAGTGAGGTTAAGCAGCTTTTCTGGGAGATGGGGGTTTCCATATAAAGCAGCGTTGTTAGCAATTGCTGGGAGACTTTGAAGACTCCATAGAAGCTACAGTGGGAAGAAAAATCCTCAAAGACCTGACTAAAACTGCACCATGTGGGCCATGGAAGGCACCACAATGTCTGGCGCATCTCAGCAGTTCCCAGTGATGCCTGAGCTCTGACCCTTGAAGCGCTCAGCACCCCTTGGCTGCCAGACACATCTTGCAAAGAGGCACTGTGATCATACGAGCTCCTCCAAGTCTTTCCTCACCACCCTCTAACCTCCTCACCTCTCTACTGACTCCCTTCTCTGCTGTCCCCTCTGCTTGGCATTCTCCTTCTCCACCTAAAAATTATTAGGGATGGCAGCTGGGCTCCCTGCCTCTTCCTGGGGTATGTTCTACCACAGCCTCTCTGTTCCCCACACACATGAAGCCTCCTGTGTCCTCTACCTGCCCCCTCGGTGAGCAGTGAGGACTTGGAGGACAGGGGCTTTGTCTTACTCATTCATGCACCTGCTTAATAATTACACAAGACTGGCCAGGCACGGTGGCTCATGCCTATAATCCCAGCACTTTGGGAGGTGGAGGCCAAAGGATTGCCTGAGCCCAGGGGTTCACGAGCAGACTGCATCTCTACAATTAATTAATTCATTCATTCATTCATAATTAGCCAGATGTGGTGGTACGTGCCTGTAGTCCCAGCTACTTGGAAGGGTGAGGCAGAAAGTTCACCTGAACCCAGCAGGTGGAGGCTGCAGTGATCCATGGCCATGCCACTGCACTCCAGCTAGGTCAATAGAGTGAGACTCTGATTCAAAATAACAATAATAATAATTACACAAAGAACTACCTTCAAACACTTTAATTCAACATCTTGGGCAATGCATTGTTCATTTGGAGATTGTTTTCTTTCTTTTTTTTTTTTGAGTTGGAGTCTCACTCCTTCACCCAGGCTGGGGTGTAGCAGTGGCATGCATGCTCACAGCCACCCCAGCGTCGACCTGCTGGGCCCTGGCGATCCTTCCACCTCAGCCTTCTAAGTAGCCAGAACTACAGGCGCGTGCTACCATGCCCGGCTATTTTATTTTATTTTATTGTATAGACAAGGGCTCGCCAAGTTGCCCAGGTTGGTCTTGAACCCATGGGCTCAGGCAATCCACTCGCCTCAGACCCCCAAAGTGCTGGGATTATAGGCTGAGCCACTGAGCCTGGCCTGGAGATTGTTTTCTTCTTTGCTTGCCAAAGTGATGCAATGCTTAAATAGTTATTTAATCGTTCTGAAATGTTTTTGCCCCATAGTGTGTGACTTGTAAGGGATATATAGAATGGGAGGGGGAGGGGAGGGAGGGGGGCAGGGTGTCCAGTGCATGAAGCAGTCTGCAGCTCCTATGGGCTCCAGTTAGAGCCACTACCCTGCCCAGATCCCAGGTTGAGTGTGGACTATTGGAGAGATTCCAGCAACCAGAGTGAAATTAAAACTTTCGCTCCAAGGACAGTGCATGAGTGTCCTGGGACTGAAAATTACCACAAGCTGAGTGGCTTAAAACAACAGAAACTTATTGTTTCATGTCTATGGGGCAGAGGTCCAAAATCAAGGTGTGAGCAGGTTGATTCCTTCTGGAGACTCTAAGAAGAAATCCATGTTCCCTGACTCTCTCCAGCTTCTGGGGGCTGCTGGCACCCCTCAGTATTGTGTGGCTTGTAGCTCCCTCACCCCAATCTCTGCTGCATCTTCATATGGTCTTCCTCTCTATCTCTGCTCTCTCCTCTTCTAATGAGGACACCAGTCATTGGACTTAGGGATCATCCTAAATCCAGAATGACCTAATCTCAATAGCATTACCTAGTTACATCTGCAAGGACCCTATCTCCAAGTAAGGTCCCACTCACAAGTTCTAGGGGTTAAAACTTGGTTGTATCTTTTGAGGAAATGGAGTCACAATTTTACCCACTACAGTCTGAGAGCAAGGGACAGGTCTGGATAGAGATTTCTAGTATGGAGTGGGAAGGTCATAATTCTCTCTCGTGACAGAATCTCTTCCTAAACAGAAGTCGCTGATTGGGCTCTTCTGCCTACTCATCTTGCAGTGCCTGCAGGTCCACAAACTTGAAGTCAAACAAACAAAGTCACAGTCTTCATCTGGACAGCAGGACTCAGGACTCCCAGCTCATAGGGGATGACTGCCAGGTCTGAACAGGATATAAACTTCTCAACACAGCATGTGCTCCACTGGACTGACCACAACGCCAGGACAAAGGCGCACAGGCCTCAAATGTAGATCCATCATCTGCATGAACTTTGGCAACTTGCTTCAACTTTATAAATCTCGATTTCCTCTTCTTAAACATGAGCTAACAGTTCCTTCTACCCAGGGTGGCCATCAGGTCTCCGGGGCAAGGAAAGAAAGTGCAGGGTCGAGCATACAAACTCCACTCCCTTTCCCTATCCCCTCTGCTCTCCCTGGACTCACTGTCTAGGAACGAGGGGCCTCTTACCCACATCTTTTATCTCTTTTCTGTCATCTTGAATCACATTTCTGAGTTTGGTCATATATTAAAAGTTTGAGCCAGGTATGGTGGCTCACGCCTATAATCTCAGCACTTTGGGAGTCTGAGGCGAGAGGATTGCCTGGGCAACTTGACAAGACCTTGTCTCTACAATCAATCAACCAATCAATAAAATTAGCCAGATGTGGTGGCGTGTAACTCTAGTTCCTGCTACTTAGAAGGCTGAGGCTGAAGGATCAGCTGAGCCCAACAGGTTGAGGCTGCAGTGGCCATGAGTGTGCCACTACGCTCCAGCCTGTGTGAAAGAGTGAGACTCTGTCTCAAAAATAAAAAAATACATAAATTCATAAATAAATGAATAATGGAGTTTGACACAGCTGGGGGACATGTGGACATAATACTCAAATTTGACTCCTCGACTTAGCAATCACAGCTTCTCATATTTTCCTTCTCCACTTTGAAAATGATGGCTGGTATTTGCATTTAAAGTAATGTAAGAATTCCAATACATTTCCAAGGGAGGTATGGTTTTTAGTTTATGCAGTGATGATGTGAGACTCAGCGTTTGGATATTTATAGAACGCAGACCCAGAGAGAGATGTAAGGCCCATCAGGTGGGACCCTGGACAGGTGTCCAAGGCAACCTGGTCTTGTACATTCCCTGGCTGTAAGCCTAAAGACAGCACACAAGTATTATCTTCCTTTTTCAGAAGCCCACTAAACACATTTTCTATATTATCACAGCTACAGCCAAGATGTGATTTAAAAATACATTTCCAGGAAATCCACATAGACTTAGAGGTTTTGCCTGAAATAATATTGGCAACAAGTCAGGGTGTAGGGGCCAGAGAGAGCCAAGAACCAGAGGGGTTTTTTTTTCATGTTTCTAGAACATGCAGATAACACATTAGCACTTATTTTTTTTTTTGAGTTGGAGTCTCACTCCTTTATCCAGGCTGGAGTGCAGTGGCACGCACACTCACGGCCACTCCAGCGTCTACCTTCTGGGCTCCAGCGATACTTCTGCCTCAGCCTTCTGAGTAACTGGAACTACAGACACGTGCTACCGTGCCCGGCTATTTTTATTTTATTGTAGAAACGAGGTCTCGCCAAGTTGTCTGGGCAGGTCTTGAACCCACAGGCTCAAGCAATCTACTTGCTTCGGCCTCCCAAAGTGCTGGGATTACAGGCTGAGCACCGAACCTGGCCTCTTTTTTTTTTTTTTTTTTTTTTTAATCAAGAGTCTTATTCTGTCACCCAAACTGGAGTGCAAAGGCATGCTCATGGCCACCACAGCCTCAACCTGCTGGGCTCAGACAATGCTTTCACCTCAGATGGATCCAAGTAACTGGAACTACTTTCACCTCAGACAGATCCAAGTAGCTGGCGTGCACCACAATGCCTGGCTAATATTTTGATTTATTGTAGAGACAAGGTCTTGCCAAAGTGCTCAGGCTGGTCTCGAACCCCTGAGCTCAAGCAATCCTCTCACCTGCGCCTCCCAAAGTACTGGGATTACAGGTGTGAGCCACTATGCCTGGCCATCAGCACATTTTTAACTAACTATAATCTGAACTGGCAACTGCCTGGCACACTGTTTTACAGCCTGACTCCATTGAGACAAAAACCAGGTCTCCTTCCTCCTCTGTCCCACAGCAGACCTCAACAGAGGTGCCCCAGCCTCTGACTGCCACCAGGAGCTCATTCTCTCTCACACCTGGGCTTCTGGAAGCTTCCATTTGGGGAACTTTAAAAAAAAAAAAACCAACCTATTGGGTGATGAATAACATAAGAATAAGCAGGAGATTGCTCTTTAGTTTTTATTAATTCAATTTATTTATTTATTTTTAAGTTGGAGTCTCACTCTGTCGTCCAGACTGGAGTGCAGTGGCCGCTCCCGGCCACCGTAGCCTCGATCTGCTGGGTTCTGGCGATCCTTCCGCCTCAGCCTTCCAAGTAGCTGGAACTACAGGCGCGCGCTACCACACCCAGCTAATTTTTGATTTATCGTAGAGATGAGGTCTCGCCAAGTTGCCCAGGCGGGTCTCGAACCCGTGGGCTCAGGCAATCCACTCACCTCAGCCTCCCAAAGGCGCGGGATTACAGGCTGAGCGACCGAGGCTGGCTTATTAACTCAATTTAAAGAGGACCTCTACTAAACTTTTACATCACAAAAGTGGGTTTGCTTTTTTATTTTTTAATTAATTTATTTTTTAAGTCAGAGTCTTACTCTGTTGCCCAAGCTGGAGTGCTGTGGCACACTCATGACCACCACAGACAGCCTCGACCTGCCGGGTTCAGGTGATCTTTCTGCC